AAAAACAAAACAACAACAAACAAACAAACAAAATCCTCTCTGATTTAGAAGATGACAGAAGACAGAAAAATTTAGGCGGCAGTGCTTGTATATTATCTATAGTACACTCTGTCTCCCTGACAAGTTTTTAGGACCCCACAGATTGACCCTTTTGGCAATTATGTGAGAACAAAGAAAAAGAGATGACTTATTTCTTCTGGTTACATGGTTAGAGAATAACACCATCAATAAGTGTGTGCTACTGGGGCAACACATCAATTGTTGGCAGTGTAGGTATTGACCTATGGATTAAAAGAATGAAAAAGACGCACAACGCACTAGACATCTCCAAACGCAAACATTTATACCAAGTGCACACTGCCGATCGCATGTATTAGATTGAATTGGAGCTGGCCAAATTTTCCCTTATGAATAGGGTAAAAGTTTCCAGTTTGGCACAATTTGACAAGATTCGACCACGACCTTCAAAATCAAATGCGATAGTTTTTGAGATTACAAGGTCGAAACAGTCCTATTGTACCATGATGATAGTTTTTGCCCCACCAAAGGAAAATCTGGCTGGCCCCGTCTCACTTTGATTGAATCTTATTAGCAGTGTGCACTGTGTTTTAGTAAAAAATAAATAAGTTTATTCAGTGTTTAAGACCATAGGGCCAAATTACACCATATAAAACACTCATTTGTTAAATAAAGTTTCCATAATGAAAAAGTAAAGGTTGTGCATATATCTCTTATCATGGGTCAAACACTGCATATTTTTGTCACTGGGCCGAGTCAGGCTGGGAGGAATGAACTTTTTCCTTTGATGGACAAAATTTGGACAAAAGAAAAATAAAGTGAAATTCATCTTCACTTTCATGAGAGTTACACATCTCATCCATAAAACATGAAGAGGAAGACCACTTGGAACCTGGAGAAGAATCAACCAAACTGATGTACAAAAAAGCAGGAAGACATGGAATAACATCAAGAGGCTAGCCCAGGACAGAGAAAGGTGGAAAGTGTTTGTTTGTGGCCTATACCCTTGTGCAGGATGAGAAAGGCAATGATGATGATGATGACACCTCTCATGTAAGGCTGAGTCTATTCATTTCCATCGATAAAGACTGTTATTTGGTCACTTTTAAGCACAAGGAGGCTATCCCGAAAAATGCTGTTTTGAGAAAATCGAAGGTAAAATTTCTGCCCTTTGTTCAGTTTCTTTAAAAGGTAAGGAGAGTTTTCTCTATAACCAAACAAATTTACACACAAAAGAAACCAAACTTCTCTTACAGGCAGGGCAATGCCTACTTTTGGTGTAAGTCAAGATTTCTGGAAATCCCCGAAATCTGGGTTAGCCTGCTTGTCCTTAAAAGTGACCATTTAATCACTGTGGTTTTGTACCTCTTTGTTGAAGTCAATCCTCCTCAGCAGCTCAATGGCGTGCAGGATGGACGTCTGGTGGAACTTGCGGTGCACGGAGAAGTGTTTCTCCAGGTCTCGCCGTGTGAGTGTGTTGAGGATGGGCCCGTCGCACAGCTGTTCCTCAAACACCTCCGTGTACTGGGGCAGGCCGAGGTCAGGCAGAAAACGGTGGGCCACCCATGTGGGATCCATCTCGCTGGCCTTGGGATATTTTCTGTTTGAAAGAAATAAACAAACAGCCCCCAGGTAATAAAACATTTAAGTTAACTGATTCCGTCCATGATTTTTTCAGGCTCTGGACAGAATTATTTTTCCCTGCTCAGTTTTAGACCTGGGGTGCATCTATTTAATGCATTACTGTGAAGCTCTAAGTTACTCTAATATGTATTGTCATATACCAAACTGATGGAAATAAATAGAAAAATCTGTTTATATCAATAACAATGACCTATAATCTGTTTGTATTGCATTTTCCTTCTGACAAAAACAAATGAGAAAAAAAAATTGCGCAACAGCTCTTCTAAAATTTTGACTTACCGCATTTTCTCAGCTCTACAAGTCCTTATAATCCATAGGAATCAACACAAAATTGTAGCAATATCACCCTAG